AGATCTGCATGTGTGATCTGACAACCGTATGACGTCAGACGATTGTCAGACATGTGTGTGCGACCTGACAACCGTCTGACGTCAGACGATCGTCAGACATGAGTGTGCGATCTGACGAACGTCTGACGTCAGACGATCGTCAGATCTGCGTTTGCGACCTGACAACCGTCTGACGTCAGACGATCGTCAGATCTGAGTGTGCGATCTGACGACCGTTTGACGTCTGACGATCGCCAGATCTGTGTTTGCGACCTGACAACCGTCTGACGCGAGACGATCGTCAGATCCAGATTTGCGCCGCGACTACAGTCGATCGTCAGACGATCGAAGATGAGGTGATGAGGGGTGAGGATTAGATTTCGAAGCAGGAGGAGAGAGGATGGGGCAAGCGGATCAGGAACGGAGGGAGGGGGGGCGGGGCAGGAGGAGAGGAGGAGGAACCAAGAGAGATGAAGGAGGAGGAATGCGTCTGCTGGAAAAAACATGTTTTTTTAAAAAATCTCTGCTTCTCGTCATCCTCCTCTTCCTGATCTCATCCTTATCCTCCTCGTTCGCTGTCGGAGCCTCTGCAATACCATCTCCATGGCAGCGCGGAGCTCGACGAAACTGATGTCCGCCTCGGGGCTAGCGTTCAGCAGGATCTCCAACTGGGCGGATGCCCCTCCCCCCCCTAAAAACAACATGCTCTACTGCCTGGATTAATTTCAGGGCTCCCGAAGAGCTTTAGGGCACCGCGAAAATTCCAGAACCTCCGACCGCAGTTGTTTTATGAAACAGTTTTCCAGGAGCCAAGATTCGCCATCGGGCCCTGATTCCCCTGGAGACAGTAACGCATTCGCAGGCCCTCAAATCTGAAGACGCCTTGCGAGGAGGGGGAGGAGGAGGAGGAGGCTGAGCAGAAACACGAGGCGGAGGAGGACGATAGAGCGGAGAAGGATGGAGGAGGAGGACGGGAGAAGGAGGAGGTCCCGCCCGAGGCTGATCATCATCATCATCATCATCATCATCATCATCATCATCATCATCAGCAGCATGATCATTATCATCATCATCACCATCATCATCACCATCACCATCATTATCACCATCATCATCAACAGTCAGCTCTTATTGTTTTCCTGTCCGTCTTTCTGCTGCACCCCCGCTTCTCTCCTGATCCGCTTTCTCGTGCCTCCTCGTACACTCTCCTCTCGTCCCCCCTCTCCCCCCCATGGGCAGCCAGCCACCAAGCTGTCCAGCTGCGCAAGGCTCGGGCCATGCACGGCATGGTCTTTGTGGAGGTGGAAGTATTGGCCCAACCGAAACGCACCCCTCACCCCCTCGGAGTCTACGTACGAAAGGAGGGCCTGCCCGAGGGACGTCGGGTCACCGTCGCCCTCGAAGGGCGGGCAGGCCATGACTCGCTGGGGGGGGGTGAGGGGTGCGTGCTGGGCCTGGAGAGGGCGAGAAGGCCCTGGTGCCAAAATGGCTATGCAGCGGCGTTGCACGTTGCTCCTCATCCTCCTTGTTGCCCTCCTGTCCCACTTTTCCTCTTCCTCTCTCTTCCTTCCTCCTTCCTCCCTCCTTCTGTCTCCCTCCTTCCTCCATTCGTCGTCCTCTCTCCTTCCTCCCTCCTTTTCCCTCCCTTTTTCACTTTCTATGTGTCTTATGCTTCTATATGTCTCTCTCTCTCGCTTTCTGTGTCGCACTACCCTTTGGGCCCCTTCCGAAACATATAATCGCCTCATCGCCGCCGTCGGAAAACTCATATCGGGGAATCGTATAAATTCGGGAATCGCGCGTAAAAATCGCGTATAATTCCGCCGGCGTCGGGCAATCGACAATCGTCGTCGGTCCGGCATCACCAGCATCCGTGCGCACGTCGGAATCGAAATCGCCGGCCAGGTACAAAGCGGAAAATCATGTCAACGCGAAAATCGGGTCGACATCGCGCATTAATTCGCCGCCATTATCGTCATCGCCAAACCCAGCATCACACATCACACCATCATCATCATCATCGTCATCATCATCATCATCACCATCATCATCATCATCCTCATTCTCATAATCACCATCATCATCATCGTCATCATCATCATCATCATGAACATCATCATCATCATCATCGTCATCATCATCATCATTCTCATCATCATCATCAACATCAGCGTCACAAACATCATCATCATCACCAACATCGCATTGGCGTCCACCAGTCACAATCAGAGTGGCCATCATTTTGAAGGTCCCCTTGAACCCTCAGCGGTGGACGAACCACTGGGCGGTCTCCCCGCCCCGCGTCAGCCGCGGCTCGCGCTCGTAGCGCAAAGACCTGCGGGAATGGGCGCTTATAGGGGGGGGGGGGGAAGTGGAGAAAGAGGGAGGCGTGGGCGACCCTCGAAAGCGGCCGCCCCAGCAGTGCCACACGCACTGCAGGTGGCCGACTTCGTAGTCGAAGCGCAGCCACTGCACGCCATTGTCTGGCGGCAGGGGCGCCGACGGGCACCACGCCCGCCGCCAGTGGGTCCCAGCGCCTGGGATGTCCCACTCGGCCTTGGACCACCCCGCTGGGATCCGCCAGCAACGCGGCGCCCATGGTGGGCGCTGCGTGGGGGCGGGGTCCGCCCAGAAGGCGGGCTTCGGCCCCCTGCGGTCGGTCATCCCGCCAGAGCCTATACAGCATCGCCACCATCGTCATCAACAACATCACATTCATCATCAAAACAGTCAGGAGTAATGAGTATCTCTTCGTCGTAGTTTCATTCATCACCGACAGCATGAATCGTCATCCATTCCTCCTCCCTTCTCCTCTGCTTCCCTCCTCACTCTTCTCACCCCCGTTCCCCCCACCCCTCTCTTTTCCCTTCATGCACAAAGTACGCGAAGCTACCCTGGCAAGGGATAGGCAGAAAGAAAAGGAGAGGCGCGACGCAGAAGGATGATAGGGGCAGGAGGGATGCGAAGAAGAGGAGAAAGCAGAGGAGGAGGAGGAGGAAAATGACGTCTGACAATGATCTGACGTCAGATCGGTGTGGGAATGCTCAGTCTGACAATGATCTGACGTCAGATCATTGTCAGATTTCAAGTTCGGAAGCATTGTCAGATCAGAACTGGCTCGCGAACCATGCCAAACTCATTCAACAACCGACCGTTACCGACCGCGACCGACCGAGACCGTTACCGATCGCGACCGCCGTTACCGGTCGCGACCGGTCGCGACATGAGCGCGACCGTCGCGACCGGTCGCGCCTGGATTTTTCCAGTAACGGATGATCTGGGAGGGAGGAGGGAGGAGGGAGGGGGGAGTAGGCAGGAGTATGAGGGATAGTGATGAGGGAGGAGGGAGGAGGGAGGAGGGAGGAGGGAGGAGGGAGGAGGAGGTGGCGGAGGCGGAGGCGGAGGCGGAGGCGGAGGCGGAAGCGGTGGCGGAGGAGGAGGGGGAGGAGGAGGAGGAGGAGGAGGAGGAGGAGGAGGTAGAGGAGGAATAATACGAAGATGAATCATAATACTAAGAAGAATGAGCATACTAATAATGCTGATACTAATAATAAGAACACTATTAATACTAATAATAATAATAGTAATAATAATCATACTAATAATAATATTAATACTAATGATAAGAGGAGGAAGAGGAAGACGAGGATGAGGAAGAGGATTACCAAGAAGCATAATACGAAGCAGACTAGTCAGCATACTACTGATGAGAGTGTGTGTGTATGTGTGAGTGCGTGTATGTGTGAGTGAGTGTATGTGTGTGTGTGTGTCTGTGTGTGCGTGTGTGTGTGAGTGTGTGTGTGTGTGTGTGAGTGTGTGTGTGTGCGTGCGTGTGCATGCGCGTGCGCGTGCGCGTGCGCGTGCGCGTGCGCGTGCGCGTGCGTGTGCGCGTGCGTGTTCGCGTGCGCGTGCGCGTCTGCGTGTGCGTCTGCGTCTGCGTCTGCGTCTGCGTCTGCGTGTGTTCGTGCGTGCGTGCGTGTGTGCGTGTCTGTGTGCGTGTGTGCGTGCGTGTGTATGTGGTTGTGCTGCTGTTGTGCTGTTGTACGTGTCACCCCGCTGTTTGGATGAGAGTGGGGGGGGCGAGCGCGGAGTGGACCGCGGGTGGGTCGCGGGCTGGGTCGTGGGGAGTGTCGCGGGTGGGTTGGGCGGGGGAGGTCGTGGGCGAAAGCGACGACGACAACAGCAAACAACAAGAACTTGGGCCGCGGATCCCCACTTCAGACGCGCACCGAGGGACACGGCGGGGCCGTTCGGCTCCCACACCCCGATTTTGCTGTTTGTGTGGAGGTGCGTATTCAAGCTGGATTTTTTTTGCACGCGCGCTTGCCCAGCGCAACCCACCACGAGAAACGCCTGGTAGATTTCGACATATTCTGGCGTTGCCCGTTCTTGCACTCGCGATGGTGCCGCCACCTTGCCAGAGGAGGAACAAGCGTGCGTGTGCGTGGGGGTGAGATGGGGGGGGCGAGATCACGCTCAAGAGCATGCCCCTGGGATCGAAACTACCGAAGCCACTGGGGACGAGGACAAGATCGTGGGCGGACAACATCCCCGTACCCGGTGGACACGCGGCCAGGCCCCTGGGCCGCGACCCGGTGGACACGGGGCAGTTTTGTTGCAGATGCCCCGCGCGAGCGTACCCATGCGACCGCGTATCCACGGGATCGCGCCCTGGAATCCAGACCGCGAGGGCGTGGATATGGATGCGCTCCTCTCGTGCCAAGCACAACGACGGCACGACGACGACCAGCACGACGAGCACGACGACGGCGACGACGACGAGCACGACGGAGACGACGACGAGCACGACGGCGACGGCGACGGCGGCGGCGGCGGACGATGACGACGACGACGACGACGACGACGACGACGACGACGACGACGACGAAGACGACGACGACGAAGACGACGACGACGGCGACGGCGACGACCGGCGACGACGAGGACGACGACAGTGACGGCGGCGGCGGCGGCGACGACGAGGCCCCCCATCCGGCGCGTGCGCGCGCCTGCGCCCGCGAGGCCGCCCGGGAGGCCAGCCGCAGCACCTCGGCCTGGGCGCGCGAGGGCCCCGAGACGGAGGCGCTCAAGGACGGCCCCGTCGGGCCGCCTTTCGCCGCCGCCGCCGCGGCGGCGGCCGCGGCCGCCGTGGCTGCCGTCGCCGCCGATGCTCCGAGGCGGCGAAGGTGATCGCCGATGCCGCCGCGCTGGGCCTCGGTCCTTCGCCTTCCCATGGGCCTCGTGGGAGGCACCCGGGGCCACGGCCGGAGTGGCTGCGAGCTCATGCTGGTCAGAGCCCACCCGGGAGAGGTCCGGGGAGCAGGGATGCCTGCTCGTCGCCCCAGGCGTCGGTGCTGCCGCCGTCGCCGCCGGCCTGCCGGCGACCGCGCCGCAACCGCCGCCGCCGCCGCCAGCGTCGTCGCCGGCGTCGTCGTCGGGGGCGCTCACGGGCGGCCCGTCGGCGTGCTGCGCGCTGCCGCCGCTCGCGGTCGCGGTCGCGGCCACCGCCACCGTCGCCCCCAGAGCTCCGACGACTTGACGGTTTTTATCTTCTTCAGAGCGGGAATTACTTACCCCGCTTTCGCTTCCAGGCAAAACCAAATCATACCACGCGCCTCCTCGTCAAGCGGCCTGACCAGCGCAGGCCGTAGTTTGGCGTCGCTTGGTATCTCTTGGAAGCGAGGGTGGTCACAAGCGAGGTAGGTTTGTTTGCGCCCTACTTCTGGGCGTTTTGCCCTCGGTGTCGGTGGCTGGGCCCCGGGGCCATGAGTAAGCTTGATTAGTTGGGTGCGAGGCGCCCGTGCTGAGCCGCAACACGTGCTCCATAGTTCAAGGGAGGAAAAGCCACCCAGACCGGACGATTGGCGCTTTCTGAACGGCCCTGGGCGCTTTCTAAACAGCTCTGCCCTGCTTGATTCATTATTTGGGCGCGTTTACTAAAAGACTTCGCGTGTCGGGATGGTTAGTATGGGGTTGGATTTGTTGACCTCTAAAAGTGCCGCGTGCAAAGCGTCCAGGTTGAACGCGCGGCGTGCTGGCTCCGCACGTGGTGGCCCGCGTTTTGGCGAGCGCACCGCGCCAGGCCTGCGCTCTCGATCTGCGTGCGGAGCTCCGTGTCAACTCGCTGCGGGTTGCGCGTTGCGCATCGGGGGAGCCAGGTCAGAACAGAAAGGGTTCCTGGACGCGGAAAACTCTCTCTGGGAAGGGGTCGGGACGTCTGGAGCATGTGAGTTGTTGTCGCTGCTCACTCACGTTTAGTCATTTTGCACAAGCCTTTTTCAGCGCAGGGCTGGGCGGAACTTCAGGCCAGTCCCCAGGCTGCATCTCCTGGGGGCGCTGGGAGGAAAAAGACTCGCTGATCCCATCCTGCCCCATATCCTGGGCCGGCACATTGAAAGAAACAGAGCGGCGGATGCCAGGTGTTGTGGTCGTCGTCGCTTGAGGAGGAGGGAGGAGGAGGAGGAGGCGGAGGAGAAGGAGGAGACGGAGGCGGAGGCGGAGGCGGAGGAAGAGGGGAGGAGGAGGAGGAGTAGGAGGGAGGAGGAGAGGGGAGGGGAGGAGGAGGAGGAGGGGGAGGAGGGGGTGGGAGGAGGGGGAGGTAGAGAGTGGAGGAGAGGAGGTAGGGATGAGGAGGAGGCGAGGAGGGAAGAGGAGGAAGGGGCAGGGAGGAGCAGGAGGGGCAGGAAGGAGGAGGGGAAAGGAGAGGAGGGAATGAGGGGGAGGAGGAGCGGACGGGGAGGAGGAGAGGAGGAGGGAGGAGGAGGAGAGGAGGATGAGGAGGAGCAGGGGAGAGAGCAGGAGGAGGGGGAGAAGGAGGTGGAGGAGGATGAGGAGGAGAGAGGAGGAGAGGAAAAAGAGGAGGAGGGATGAGTGGCGGACCAATCGTCGGAAAAACTTCTGTAAGACTCGGGGGGTCGCAGCGCGACGCAGAGGTGCTCTGCCTCGCCCCGGCCGCGTGCCCCAGCGGGCGCAGGGCGCGCGCCTGCCTGCCTTCCTGGCGACCCACCTTTTGGGTCTTGCGGCGTGCATGCTCGTCTGCCAAGCAAGCTCCTCCTCCTCCTCCCCTCCTCCTCCCCTCCCTCCCTCACCTCTCCCTTGTCCTCCTCCTCCTCCTCCCCCCCCTCTTTCCTCCTCCTCCTCTCCTCCTCCTCTTTTCCCTCCTCCCCCCCTCATTCCTCCACTCCTCCTCTCCACCTCCTCCTCCTACTCCTCCTCCTCCTCCTCCTCCTCCTCCTCCACCTCCTCCTCCTCCTCCTCCTCCTCCTCCACCTCCACCTCCACCTCCTCCTCCTCCTCCTCCTCCTCCTCCTCCTCCTCCTCCTCCTCCTCCTCGTCCTCCTCCTGGGGCACGTGGCCTGCACACTGTGGGGGGCGCGCCCCCCACAGCGGGGCGCCCTCCTTCCGCCCGCCTCGCCCCGCGGTGTTCCACCGGCCGGTGTCGCGCCCAGACTGACGAGCAGCTGCGGGGGGTCGCAGGAGCTCGGGTTCGCTGGAGCGCAGGCTTCACGCCTCCCCGCGAGCAGGGAGGCTCGGGGAGCGCTCTGATTGAGCAGGTGTCCCAGATCTTCGGCGGTGCGTTTCTGCTACAGTCGGGGTGGTGTCCTCAGATTTCGAGTCCTGGGGCCCATTTTCGGGACCTGGGGCCATCAAGAATGAAGTCATTATGGGCCAGAGAACTGGCCCCAGGGAGGAGGGTCGGGATCCCAGGGGCCGCGCATTGTGAAAAACAGATCGTCGGATGTTCGGGAATCACTGCGGAACAAAGAAGCACGACGGACAGTCACTGGCAATTTCCAGTTTCCACGAGCCTTGAGACTGCCACAAAGCAGTGCGGGGTGGAAGAACTGTTCCCCGGGGAGGGTTCGCCTGCCAGGACATTTTGTTGGCGACTGTGGGGATGGTTTCAAAATGAAGAGTCGCAATCACTAGTAAAGCCAGCAAGCCTCCTGCGTTGCAGTGTTACCGATGCTCCGCCCATGCTGACACCAGCCCGAAGCACTGGCTCGACCACCCTCGGCAGCTTGACTGCTGGCCTTTCGCCTGGGCTTCTCCAGGGCCCCTATAGGAATCGTGGAGCGCGTTCCGCACTGCATTGGACAGGGCCTGCCGCGAGCAGCGGTTGCTCAGCGGGTCGCGCCGCTGGTCTTAAGTCGGGCCTGTCCCTCTACAGGAGGAATATTCAAACACAGTGACAGGCAACAGTCCGGGGACTATTTTGTGATTCTCGTTCGGCCATGTTGGGGCGTCTTTTGACTATCGCATTCCAGACGCATCCTCCCACCCGGCGAGGACGCCAAGGTGGCGCTGGCGGAGGTGCTGGCGGACATGGACCAGGCCAAGCTGGAGGCCGGGGCTTGCATCAGAGCGTGAATTTCCTACCCCGCTTTCGCTTCCAGGCAAAAACCAGTCATGCCACGCGCCTCCTCGTCAAGCGGCCTGACCAGTACAGGCCCTAGTTTGGCATCGCTTGGTATCTCTTGGAAGCGGAGACGGAGGAGGAGGAGGAGGAGGAGGAGGAGGAGGAAGAGGAGGAGGAGGAGGAGGAGGAGGAGGAGAGGGAGGAGGAGGAGGAGGAGGAGGAGGGAGGAGGAGGAGGACGAGGAGGAGGAGGGAGGAGGGAGGAGGCGGAGGAGGGAGGAGGAGGAGGAGGGAGGAGGAGGAGGAGGCGAGGGTGGTCAAAAGCGAGATCGGTCTGTTTGCCCCCCCATTGCGGCCAGGGGCGCCCCCCGGGGGCCTCGGAGCTCGAGGGCACGGCCACAGTGCAGGTCGGGCGCGGCGCCCTCCGGTCTCGGCCGCTGGGGCGCGCTGTTGGGCCGGGGGGCCGTCAAGTGCAGTCCAGGCGCGAGCATTAAAGTCGGGCCTGTCCCCCATCCAGGGGGGTTTTCGACGAAAACTCAAAAATACCCCCCAACAAACATCCAAACATACTCCAAAACTAGTCTGGGGACTATGTTTTGCATATTTTGTTGCATATGTTTTGACCATTTGGGAGCATTGTTTGCACATTTTTGTGTTTCGTCGAAACTCCCCCTGTAGGGGGGGCACGCCCGACCTAACGCGAGCAGAAGGGGCCACTCCTCGGGGCCCGAGGTCTGCGTCGGGGAGCCTAATTACCACCAGTCGCGGCCGAGGCCAGCCGTGGCCAAGGAGAGGCCGCCAGCGGGCTCCCTGAGCCCAGAGCTGTCGTTCTTGTCGGTTAGAGGCCAATGGCTATGATGCTCCAGCCTTCTTTGGCCTTGATCACCAGAACGAGTTTCGAGTGCCGAAAAAAAGTACCGAAGCTCAAGGGTTTTCACGCGTCGGGCCCTGGGAGACACTCGCCCGACGCTGTTTCGACACCGTTTCGACACTCTGTTGACACTTTTCCCGGTGCTCGACATGATTTCTGGGATGCGGCCCTTCAGCAGGATGGGAACAGCATAAGCCAAGTGCTCGGCAGCCCGAGCCCCTCCGGACAGAGGGGGCTCGGGCGTTCGGGCCGTTCCCCACGGTGGCGGCCCCTGCCAAGAAGCATCCCGCTTGCCTCCAGGGTGACCTGGGCCTCTTGGACCTCGGTGCCTTCGCCGCGCGCTGGGCGCGACGTCCCCGCGCCGAGAATCCAGGGAAGCCCTGGGGCCTCAGGGCTGGGCGCCTCGTGGAAGGCTTCTCGTGGCTGTATATCCGAGGTGGATAGGCCTCCTGCCCTGGCACGTCGATTCGCGAATCTGCCGCTTTCGCTTCGCGAGAGGGCGCCGCGGCCGTCCCTTTTGCGGGGCCGGGTCCGTCGATCTCGGCCCCGGGCCCTTTTCGCTGAGGGGAGGTTTATACTACAGGGCGGCTTGCCCACCGCCGGGCAGTGGCCTCGGCGTCGACGTCGGGGAGCCGAAGCTCAGGAGGAGGAAAAGCACACAGACACAGTTAATCCCCGACTTCCCAGGAAAGCTGGGGAAATATAAGAAGGGGGGGGGAAGACCGAAACCCAGCATATGCGAAAGTCTGGGAAAACATGCTTTTTGTGTGTGTGTGTGTATTTCTTTGTGTGCCCCAGGGCCCCTTCAGAAGCGCGGGGGCCGGGCCCGCCGTGGCCGCGCGAGAGCCCGCTCGCCCCTGCGGGGCACGCGTGGCGCTCCCGCCCGGCCGCGCGCCGGCGGGGGCGGAGAGACCTCGGGGCGGCCGGGGGCCTCCCGCGGCCGCGGGGGCCCTCGGCGGCCGCGCGCGCGGGAGCCCTCGGCGGCCGGCGGCCGTCGGTCCAGGGCGCCCTCTCGAGGGCGCGCAGTGATGCGCGCTGCGCGGTGCGGCTCCGAGGCCTCCTCGTCCTCCGCTTCTCCCCCGGGAGGCGGCGCGGGAGCGCGGAGTGATTCGCGCTGCGCGGTGCGGCTCTGGTGCCTCCTCATCCTCCTCCGCTTCTCCCCCGGGAGGCGGCGCGGGGGCGCGAAGTTATGCGCACGTCGCGCTCTCGCGCCGCGCGGAGCGCGAGGTTGGGAGCCCCTGGTCTGTCGCCAGATGGGGTGAGGGAAGTCGGGCCCGTCCCGCGGCGGGAGGAAGACTCATAACTAGGCAGAAGATAGTATGGGGGCGATGTTTCGACCATTCTTCAGGATTTGGGGCGTATTTTTGTTTACTATGCTTTCTCTTTCGTCCAACAACCTGAATGGGAAGCTGGGTCCTGCGGGACACGGGTCCTGAGATCTGCCGCCGCGCGCTGAACGTCCATGGGCCCCTCGGGGCGCCGTCGGCAAGCAACTCGGGATGGCGCTCTCGCCCTCGGGGGGGAGGCCCCGGGGCCCAGAGTTAAGTCGGGCGTGTCCCCCTACAGGGGGATTTTCGATGAAAAATAAGAAGCACCCAGAAAATAGTCAAAAAATATTCCAAAAACAGTCTGGGGACTAGTTTTCGAGTATTTTTTGATTCTTTGGGGGGCATTTTTGGTGTGTATTTTTTACTTCGTCGAGCATCCCCGTGTAGGGGGACACGCCCGACTTCAGCCCCGAGTGCTGGCACCGGAGGCGGGGGCCGAGGTCCGAGCCGTGAGGGCGGCAGCGGCGCCCAAGGCGCGGCCCAGGGCGCCCCCACGGCAGCCCTGCCCCTCCCGGCCCCGCGCGCCCCTGGGCCGCGGCCGCGCCGCGCAGGGGCCCCTCTGGGGCGCAGGGGGGGGGGGGGACTGGCCTGCGGGCCGCTCTTTAGAGCTCGGGTCGGGGAACCTACTCGTGTTGAGTCGGGCCTGTCCCCTGTACAGGGGCAATATGCAGAACTAGTCCAGAAATAGTCAGGGGACTATTTTCGGAATACTGTTTGACCGTTTTGGGCTATTTGTTAGGTATTTCTTATTTGTCGCTGGAAATCCCCTTGTAGGGGGACACGCCCGACTTCACACTCGTGGCCGAGAGGGGCCCGCCGTCCCCCCCACCGAAAAACAAGAGCCTCGGCTTCGTGTTGGGCGGCAGGCGGGGGCAGCAGGCACAGAGGGTAGGAGGCCGGACGTCCGCGGCCTCACAGCAGAAGGGCAGCGGGGCGTCTCCTTTGTCTCCCTTCCTCCTCCCTCCTCCTCCTCCTCCTCCCCCTCCTCCCCCTCCTCCTCCTCATCCTCATCCTCCTCCTCCTGTTCGGCCTCCACTGGGATCGGCGCGGGGGGCGCTGAGGGGGGCACCTGGTGGGGTGTGTCTGCGGATGCCAGGGCGAGTTGTTCCAAAGACAGTGCCTGCACTGTGAGGGGTTCTTACTTCCGTTCTGAAGAGCTGTGCCCGGGTGTCGGTCTGGCGGCTCCGTGCTCGCCGTCGCCGCCCCGTCGCCGCCTCGTCGCCGCCCGTCGTCTGGGCCTGGGTGCCGGTCGGGCGGCACCGTGGTCGCCGTCGCCGCTTTGGCGCTGCCTAATTAGGTTGCACCACACAGATTGCAGCGCGTAGTTTGCACCACACAGACTGCGCCACAGGGATAGCACACATAGATTGTGCAACATGAATTGCACCACACAGAGTGCACCACGTCGATGGCACCACATATACTGCGCACAACATGGATTCTCCTTTCTAAAATACTAATAGATTCTACCCCCCCCCGGACTTATCGGGTCGCCCGCGCGTGCTGCAAATCACATATGAATCTGACCACATGTCCATCCTAAATATGAATTCATACCATCCCAGCCAAGCCGGTATCCCCCCCCCTGCGGTTCCCTTATAAAAAACACTATGCGGTGACATGTTTTGTTCTAACATAGCACTTTTTCACGAATCCTTTGCAAAAAGATTGACGAAGTGCACACGCGCGCGTCGTGGCGCGCGCATGCCGAAATCCTTCAAAAACCTTCGGTTCTGGAGAGATTTCCAAATTGAATTTCCAAAAAACATATAAAAACACATGGTTTCGCAACACTGATTTGCTAAAAAAAACTTACGCGCGAGCTCTTGCGAAATCTTAAGAAAACCATAGGTTTCCCAAGATTTTCACAAAATGCTACCAAACGGGCTTCGCGCGCGCGCATGTCGAAATCTGTCGAACGCCCTTGCGCGTGTGCCGTCGCGAGAATCCTCTGCAAAAAACGGGACGAAGTGCAGACGCGCGCGTCGTCGCGGGCGTATGCCGAAATCCTTCAAAAACCTTCGGTTTCGGAAGGATTTCGAAATCGTGCGTCCAAAAAACCATACAAAAACACAAGGTTTCGCAACACGGGTTTTCAACAAAATTGTGCGCGCGCGCTCTTCGTCGTCGTCGTCGTCGTCGTCCTCCCTCCTCCCTCGTCGTCGTCGTCGTCGTCGTCGCCGTCGTCGTCTTCTGTCTTTCCTCGTCGTCTTTGGCGTCGTCGTCGTTTCCGTCGTCGTTGTCGCCGTGGTCGTCCTTCCTCCCTCGTTGTCTTCGTCGGCGTCTCGTCGTTGTCCCTCCTATTTCGTCGCCGTCGTCGTCGTCGTCGTCGTCGTCGTGGTCTTCACTCCTCCCTCGTCGTTATCCTCCTCCCTCGTCGTCGTCGTCCGTCGTCGGCGTCTCGTCGTCGTCCTTTCCTATTTCGTCGCCGTCGTCGTCGTCTTCGTCGTCGTTGTCATCGTCGTCGTCTTCCCTCCTCCCTCGTCGTTGTCGTCGTCGGCGTCGCCGTCCTTCCTCCTTCTTCGTCGTTGGCGTCGTCGCCGTCTTCCCTCCTCCATCGTCGTTGTCGTCGTTGTCGCCGTCGTCGTTTTTTCTCCTCCCTCGTCGTCGTCTCCGTTGGCGACGTCGTCGTCGTCTTCGTCGTCGTCGTCGGCGTCGTTGTCGTCGTCGTCGGTGTCGTCGTCGTTGTCGTCGTCGAAAACATTGGAGACGTTGTCGGTGTCGTCGCAGTCGCTGTCGGCGGCGCCAGCGTCGTCGATGTCGCTGTCGTCGTCGGCATCGGTGTCGTGGCCAAGTGCCATGCAGTACCTACCGTCACGGTCTTGTCTGAAGATGTCTTGCGACCAAGTTGCGGGTGGGAGGGTGGGATGTTTGCACGAGCAGTGGAGAGGACAGCTTCAAAACGGTCAAGATTAGTTGCACCACATAGGTTGCACCACATGTACTGCTCCACATAGATTCCACAACACATATCGCTCCACAAAGATGGTAGAACATAGATGGCACAACATATAATATTTCACACAATAAGTTGCACAACATATATTCCCCTTTCAAAAAGACTAATAGATTCTGCCCCCCCCCGGACTTATCGGGTCCCCCGCGCGTGCTGCAAATCACATATGATTCTGACCACATGTCCATCTTAAATGAGAATTCGTACCATCCCAGCCAAGCCGGTATCCCCCCCCCTGCGGTTCCCTTGTAAAAAACACTATGCCGTGACATGTTTTGTTATAACATAGCACTTTTTCACGAATCCTTTGCAAAAAAATTGACGAAGTGCACACGCGCGCGTCGTGGCGCGCGCATGCCGAAATCCTTCAAAAACCTGCGGTTCCGGAGAGATTTCAAAATTGAATTTCCAAAAAACAAAAAAACATGGTTTCGCAACACTGATTTGCTAAAAAAAACTTACGCGCGAGCTCTTGCGAAATCTTAAGAAAACCATAGGTTTTCCAAGATTTTCACAAAATGCTACCAAACGGGCTTCGCGCGCGCGCATGTCGAAATTTGTCGAACGCCCTTTGCGCGTGTGCCGTCGCGAGAATCCTTTGCAAAAAATGGGACGAAGTGCAGACGCGCGCGTCGTCGCGGGCGTATGCCGAAATCCTTCAAAAACCTTCGGTTTCGGAAGGATTTCGAAATCGCGCGTCCAAAAAACCTACAAACACACAAGGTTTCGCAACACGGGTTTTCAACAAAATTGTGCGCGCGCGCTCGTCGTCGTCGTCGTCGTCGTCCTCCCTCCTCCCTCGTCGTCGTCGTCGTCGTCGCCGTCGTCGTCTTCTGTCTTTCCTCGTCGTCGTTGTCGTCGTCTTGGCGTCGTCGTCGTTTCCGTCGTCGTTGTCGCCGTGGTCGTCCTTCCTCCCTCGTTGTCTTCGTCGGCGTCTCGTCGTTGTCCCTCCTATTTCGTCGCCGTCGTCGTCGTCGTCGTCGTCGTCGTGGTCTTCACTCCTCCCTCGTCGTTATCCTCCTCCCTCGTCGTCGTCGTCCGTCGTCGGCGTCTCGTCGTCGTCCCTCCTATTTCGTCGCCGTCGTCGTCGTCTTCGTCGTCGTTGTCATCGTCGTCGTCTTCCCTCCTCCCTCGTCGTTGTCGTCGTCGGCGTCGCCGTCCTTCCTCCTTCTTCGTCGTTGGCGTCGTCGCCGTCTTCCCTCCTCCATCGTCGTTGTCGTCGTTGTCGCCGTCGTCGTTTTT